GACTCTATTCTCGATCCTTGCTTTCATGTCTTGTGGTTATGAAGGGAATTTTCATGCTGTTCAATGATAAACTACAACGGCCAATGCTAGGGGAATATGGAAAGGCAAAATCATGTCGATACGACCCAAAAATGAAAATCAATTTGCCAATCGATTACTACAAGGAGAATGAATTGAAATCAATTCATCTGGCTAGGGTAAAGGATGTACAAGGCGATCTAGGTCCCACAACATGGATGACAACAGAGTTTAATGCTATCCGTATACAACATCGTGGAAATAAAAAAGAATCAAGTGACAACTAAATGAACATGAAACTCCAGCAGGCTAAAATAAACATCTTGTCAATAGAAAAGTGTTGAACAGCCTAGTTATGGCAAACAACGATGATCGTTGATTTGTAGCGTTGGCTAATGAATTCATTTATGTCGGTTAAAACCAACAATCTACAAGTTGGTCAAGATGGAACGACAGTAAACGAATTGATCGGATTGGATAAGATCGGCAGGCAAGAGGAAAAACTTCTATCGTTGACCCAAATCGGCCATGATAGAAGCCAGCATAAAATAAACAGCCTGTAAGGCAAACTCCAATGATTTGGCCGTAGGGCATAAGAATAGCTCAAGCTAATAGGAAATAAATCGCTGGAGGGAGAATAGAATGATTTGCAATTTGCAAGTGGAGAAAAACAATCATGGATAGTTTCAATTAGTCTGCCATATCGGAAAATTGTAGAATGATGATGAGAAAAATGATACATAATGAAAACAAATTGAGCGATTCTGAATCGGCTGGTAGATCAAGATGGGGTTAAGATAGATTCCAGAGAAAATAGTCTAATAAAAAAGCTGATCGGAAAGAGCCTTGATCAGTCCATGATAGAATGATAATAATTAAAATAAATTGAGCAATTCTGAACGCTTGGGAGATCAAGATGGGGTTAAGATAGATTCCAGAGAAAGTAGTCTAATAAAAAAGCTGATCGGAAAGAGCCTTGATCAGTCCATGATAGAATGATAATAATTAAAATAAATTGAGCAATTCTGAACGCTTGGGAGATCAAGATGGGGTTAAGATAGATTCCAGAGAAAGTAGTCTAATAAAAAAGCTGATCGGAAAGAGCCTTGATCAGTCCATGATAGAATGATAATAATTAAAATAAATTGAGCAATTCTGAACGCTTGGGAGATCAAGATGGGGTTAAGATAGATTCAAGAGAAAGTAGACTAATTGATCGTTTAATAAAATTGCTGATCGGAAAGAGCCTTGACGATAATGTTTAGAAAGAAGAAAGATCGGTCAAGGATAAAACACAAATAACTGTTGTTGAAACCAAGACGGAGGCAAGATAAAGTTATTTACAGTTTAATCTAGTGATATTGGTAAAATGATCGGAAAGAGGTAAAATCAGTGAAGGTTAGAATCGAAGTAACGGCTCTAGAAATGAAGATAGGTTCAAGATAAATGACCATCAGCAGTTTAATGGAGACGGTAATATTGCGATCATGTTTAGAAAGAATGGTATTCAGTCAACGATAGAATAAAAATAGCGATTTGCAGATGGAGATAGAACTCAGATAGAAAGAATCCAGATAGTTCAAATGGCAATCACAGAAATCAATCAATCTAAAAGTAAAATGGACAGTAATAAATTTGTCAATAAGCAAGAGTTGGAACGATTGTCTCATTTAAAAATCAATGGCTGAAAAGAAAGCTGCAATTCTTCCCAGTTGTCATAGCTTAAAGCAGCAATCGATGACGGCCATGGCAGAACTGCCAAGTAAAGCCATGACCAAATAGGTCCATCATCTCCTAATGCAACGAGTAAAAGAGGAACCATAAACGCCATGGATATCAGCAAGACTATCACCCATGGCTCAAGAGCTGTTTCAGTGATTCAATTAGGCGATGTTAAGCGTCCAA